CCCCAGTGACCTGGTTCCATTGCCATCTCTCTCCACTCACCCAGACACTCAGAGAGGGTTGACCACTTGTCCAAGATCACACAGGGCAGACGCAGAGGAGCCACGGCGCAAGGAGGGGCTGGAAAGTGGAGGGAGACCCGCTCCTTCCTTGGATCCAGCCCTCGGGGTCATGCCCACCACTGGACATCAAGGGCCTGCTGGGTTCCAGGCACCAGGCGTGGGACAGTGACCATGACCAGCAACAGCTCCTGCCCTTGAGCACAGACGGTCAACCATGACCACATTCACGGGCAAGATCATTTCAGGCTGTGGCAAGTGCCACATGAAGGAGATAAAACAGCATTAGAGAGGAGCTAGGGGCCGGGTGCTACTTCAGCCTCCTCCCCAGAGAAGGAAGGCCTCTCTGGGACGGGGTGCGTGGGTTGATGCCTGAACGCAACAATATCCAGGGGAAGAAACAGAAAGTACAAGTAAAGACAGCCGACGCAGTCACTGTGTTCCAGGCGCCGTGCAAGGTCCTTTTCATGAATCAGCTCATTTAATCTCATCACAACCGTATTCAGTACTAAGGTTATCATTGCCATTTTATGGAGGAGAAACTGAGGCACAGAGGCCAGGTAACTTGGCTAGGCAATAGAACCAGGACCTGAACCTGGTTCACGTTGGGGTACCAATGGCAACCCACCCTCCCAAGGGAAGTATCCTGGCAAGAGCTAGAGCCAGAGCAGAGGCTCCCTCACCCCTCCTGCCCTGCCCTCCCTTCTGGGGGAGCCCTGAGGTCCCCGCTCCCTGCCCCCAGCCTCTCAGTTCACAGCTATCTGGGCCACCTCATTCTAAAGGGATTTGACTCTCAGAGACAACTAGAGACTGCTGAGAAAGGGCTTAGGGATTAGACAGTGATACCAGGAAGCTGAGGGACTTAATGGGGCGCGGGTGTGGGAAGCGGGGCAGGGAGGGGATTTGTTCCTTCACAAAGCCCGGTGGACTGCGGAAGCAAGGAGGAAGAGGGGCTTGTGGGGAGGAGCCCAGCGGCTCGGGTTCTCCCTTTCTTTTGTGCCTTAAGAAACGACAGGTCATCAAGTAACCATAATCCCTCGCATCTGGGCGCCCCCTTCTCCAGCCATTATTTCAGCTGTGATTTTTCCAGCCATTGTTGCACTTGGAATTCTCACAGTGACAAGATTAATTTTCTCCCTGGATCACAGGCCACCGGAGAAGGCAGGTGACTTCAGGCAGTGGCAGTCCCACGGCCGGGCTGGGAGGAGGGGAGGAGGCTCGAGCCAGGGCCTTTTTGCTCGGCTGTCTGATAGCACAAGGGCTTTCCAGAGAGTTCCCTGCCCTGGCCCTGTGGAAGTAGAGAGTTCTGCAAATATTTGTTGAAGGCTTTAAAGGGTTTAAAAGACCGTTCTTTCTAACTCTCAAAAATCACGGTGCCAATCTCTGCAGCGGCCCCTCCCATGGGCACCACACTTTCCAAGGTCATGGCTCTGGGAAGCCTCTGATCTCAGTCAAGGTCAATGCCCTCATTTTAGTGAGGAGACCCCCGGGGCCCAGAGGGCACGGGCAAGCAGCCCGGAGGGACCCCGGTACATGCCCCTGGCTGAATAGTCACAGCAGCACGTTAACTCAAGAACACAGTCTACATCCAGCTCAGGCTCTGGACTCCCCATCCAGTGCTCCCACATGTTCCCAGAGCTGCCTTCCAGAAGAATCCAGAGTCAGGGCTCTAACTCCCAAGCCTAGGACTGCCACCCCCCTGCTCCCCCTGGATCACTGCGCTCCACCAGCCTTATTTAAGTCGTTCGCCCCCACACTTCTTTGGGCACGTCCCCAGCAAGGTGTACACGGAACAGCGTGCTTGTCACAGAAGGTTCTCACCTCCAGCCCGCCTGACCTGGGAGGCTGGGTTCTTCCTCTTGGGCCTGGCTGTTCCCCGATAGTCGCCACACAATACAAAGTAGTCCACTTCAAGGTCAGGAGAGAGGGGCTTCTGGCTGGCAAAGGTCACGTTGGTTGCCTTGTGGGTGGATCGGGGAGGGGTTCCCAGAAACAGCGTTGGATCAGGGCCTTGAAGGCCAGAGAGGACTTGACAGGGGCACACGGGAGACAGCAGCAACTCTGACAGAGACAGGAGGGCAGAGGTGCATCTGAGGGACAGCAGATGGCTCCTCGAAGTGAAATAAAAGTATGTGGTGAGAGTGAGTGGCACTGAGGCCACAAGGGCTGCTGGGAGGAGGTAGGGGTAGCCCTTGAATGCGGGTCAGTGTGGTTGGGCTGACTCTGGAAGGAACTGGGGAGCCACTGTGGATTCTTGAGCAGGGGTGCAACATATCTAGTGGGGAGCGAGAAACTATCGAATAAGGATTGGGGGATAGAGACAAAGTGGGGATGGGAACGAGGGACTCACTTAGGAACCAGCTTGGAGGAGTTTACCAGATTATCCATTTAGGAGTCATAGTATCAGACTAACTAGCTGTTTAACAGTGCCCAGGAGATAGGTGCATCTTGGTAGAGGACCTGGGAGGGAGGCCGTGTCCCGCCAGGTGACTGTGTTCCTGTGCTTTCCCGGGCAGCTTCTGCTAGTCACTCCCAGGCCTGCCCACACCTTGGCTTGAGGGCACCTGGGAAAGTTTGGCCTAGAAGCCAGAGACTTGGGTTCAAGTCCCAACTCTGCACGTGCTCACACATGACCACCTCTCTCCCTTGGGTGCCTCCATAAACCACCTGACCTTTCTATGTTAGAGGATTGTCCAGCACTTAAGTGACAAGCTAGATCTGAAAGTGCCTTGCAAACTGTGAAGTGCTGAACCAATATAAGGGGCTGTTCTACTGTCTTGTGGGTAGGTTCTACCCTATAAAAAACATTCTGTCCCTGGAAGGCTCTTAAATACAGATGTTAGCCAAATGTCCAGTAGGGAAGGCAGCCCTGCCCTGCCCCAAGGCAGGAGCCAGTGCTTCTTTAACTAGGGCAGGGCTGCTGGGACTTCCTGAAAACCCTTTGCAGAGGTGGGGCTCGGGGATTTCAACCCTCTCTCTGTACCCTGCAGTGGACATCCCTGGCAGGGGCCACACCAGAGGCACAGTGGGGTCCTTCCAAATGTCCTAAACAGGCCTGGGGCACCTGCCTCTGCCTTCTGCCATCTCTGGGTGAGGAGGGGGACTGGAGCATTCTGCTTTCTACTCTCCTGGAGACTTGGGCGCTGGGGCAGCCGGGCATGGCTCCGGGAGATGGGACGCCCACAGACTCCCAGGGCTCCCTCTGCATTAATTCTAAACCCGAAGGGGACAGCACGACTGAGCACCTTCCACATGCCAGGCACTGGGCACTCCACATCTGTCATTGCTTGCCACTAATGACTTCAGGTAAGCCATTCCCTCTCAGGTACTCAGTTTCCCCAGCTGTTAAACGAGGTGAGCTGCATGATCCCCGAATGATCTATGTTTATCTCTCCCTCCCGGGGCTCCCCCAGCCCCTGGCTCTGTGGCTTTATTGGAGTATTTCTTACATTCGTTCATTCAGCACACATTTATCGACAATCCCTGTGCACAGGACGCTGTGCTGGGGGCGGGGGGCTGGTGAGGATATTTAGAAGTGAGTACAACAGGGGGCTGTGCCCAAGGACCTCATCGTCTAGCAGGGTAGATGCTACATAGTAGGGTCACAGCAGGGTTCTGAGGGCCCACCCTGCCTACATACGCCTCCTCTTCCCACCTCATTGGCTGAAGCCACACTTCCCACTAGCCACCAAAACTTTGCTCGAGTGCACTATTGTGCTCCCATGGAATGAACGAGTCTTCCTTCTCTGTCCCCCCATTTTAAGGCCCAGCTCAATTCCACTCCCTCCAGTAAAGCCTTCTAGGATTCTTCCAACCCAAAGCAAATGCTCCCCTTTTAAAGCACCCAGACACCTGCTGCCTCTCCTTGGGACACTTATTTTGCTCTTGTATTCTAGTCGACAGGGCCTTTTCCTTATCTGTGGGAGGCCAAGGTGGTGTCTGATTCATTTCTGGGTCCCAGAACAGTGCCTGGCACACGTAGCAGGAAAGAATGCCCCAAGGCATGTGACCAGGTGCTACCCTAGAGGTAAATTAAAGTGCTAGGGGACCCAGGCAGAGAGAGGAAGGCTGTTGAGTCCCAAAAGGAAGAAATGTCTTCATTGTATGAGGAAGGGGCAGTGACGGGGGTGTGGCTGGACAGTCAGGTGGCGCAGGCTGGACAGGAGGCTGCTGGGCTGCAGCGGCCAGAGCGTCCGTCCCATAAGTCAGACTGGTATCTACCTGGGGACCCACAGCTCTGGCCCCTGGGTGAGAAGCGGGGAAGGATACGTGACAGCAACCCTGCTTTCATTGGGACATTGCTCTCACTGTGGCTACCTCCATGGTCACCTCCATCCCCACCCAGAAGGAAGCCTGGGCAGGCGGGCAGCAAAGCGAGGTTCTGCAGGGCAAACTAGGCAGGGAAGTGGTCACGAGAAGCCAGCCCCACGCTAGGCAGCGCACTAGGTGAATTATGGACATTAGCTCACTTGAAGTCAGCTCCCACAGCTCGAGGGGAAGGCTGTCACCAGAAAGGCCCAAGCCGGGTCTGGCTGCGCGGTCGTAAACCGATGGCAGGACAGGTGGAGGGCAGGGGACTCGGAGAAGACCGGTCAGTACCACCGGTCCAGGAAGCAGCGTCCAGCTAGACTTAGGGGACATGCGCCTCACAGAGCGCCAGGCCAGCTCTCTACACTCTTGGGGGGGCCTGATCTTACGGGAGCTCATTACACAGCACCTTCCAGTCCCTTGTGGTTCAAGGCCCAGAAAGCTCAGGTGTCTCTCCCAAGGTCACACTGTGAGCTGAGGGTCACTTTCGGACTAAAACCCAGGCTCCTGCGCTCCTGATGCCCACGGGCCTCGGGCTCCGACTTGAGGAGGGCCACGCGTGCCAGCGCCCGCCCCGCGTCGCTCCCCGCCCCGCCCCGCCCCTCGGGACCCTTTAAGAGGCGGGGCTTGGCCGCCGGCCGCGCCGCCCGCCCGGGCTGGGACTTTACTCCGCGGCAGCTGGAACCAGTCTCTGCTCCATCAGCTGCCGCGACCGCCGGCGCCGGGGCTGAGCCACGATGAGCGGCAGAGTCGGCGATCTGAGCCCCAAACAGAAGGAGGCACTGGCCAAGGTGAGCCCTCGTCCTGGCCCGGCGCCCATCCCCGCGCGCCCGCGGCAGCCGGGCCCGGAGGGGCTGGGTAGGGGGCGAGGGAGGGACCCAGGGTCCCCGGCGGGCGGGCGGCGGGGGAAGCAGCCCCGGCCGCCCCTGCTTGGCCCGTGCCCGGCGGACGACCCCTCCTTCCCTGCCTCTCCCGCCTAGGGGCCCCGCGAAATCTGGCCACCCCCGCCCAGCGCCGGGCAGCCGTGGCGGTGCCACCTGGGAAGAAGTGTTGCTTGGAAGCCCTCGGAGGCCACGGAGGGCACAAAGACAACATTCATCCTCGGGACTGGCAGCCAGGCCCTGGGCAGAGTCAGGGCTCCAAGTTTCCTCCCATTTCCGGGAGGTTTTCCTCTTGCAGGGGCAGTGGCACGATGGAGCCCCCCCTCCCCCAAAGCTCCTTAGGGGACTTGGGTAGCCCCTGATTGGCACCAAGCCTCTGTGCGACCTTGGGCACATTACTCCTTGATGAAATGACATGAGGAGGTTGCACCAGGTGATGTTGAAGGGACTGTGTGTGGATTCTGGGTTACCCAGTGACTCACTGGGCTGGGGTTAGTTTGAGCCGAGACCAACCAGCCCTCCCCTATTTTGCAACCCAGGCCTGTGCCCGGCAGGGACTTAGGTTGATGCTCCTCTGAAGGCAAGGAGGTGAGCCTGGCTCTGCCTTGGCAACTGCGAACAGGAAAGGGGCAACAGTCTGAGGGCTGGACTGTCCTCTCCACCAACTGAATGTCCCCATCTCTGTCACCCCTGGGGAGAGGGGAGGTTCTCCCAGGCCGAGCTGACTGAGTGCAACCCCAAGGTTTGGACGCCACGCAGCTGGGCAGTTTTTCATTGCTGGGCACGGGGGTGGGGGCAGATGTCTCCTGCCATGGCAGCATTGGGAAGGCACCAGCCTCATGAAGGTTTTGTCCCAGGACGGCCTCTCCCATGCCAGGAAGGCTGGACAGGGAGGTTTCAGGTTTTACTGCTGACCTGCAGGGGAAGTCAGGCAGAGAAGGGATTAGACAGTGATTAAACTGGAGACCAGGGGCTGAGTAAGGTCCTTGGTGAGAGGTGGCTTCCTGCTGGCAGTATGGATGAGCAGTTTCCAGAGCTCTGGGAGCCGCTTTGGGGAGTCGGATGGTCTGAGTCCTTAGCTGACCTAGGCAAGGGGCAGAGGTGGCCAGTCCTCATTGGTCCCCTTTGGGGCTGTCCTGTAGGTCAGTGACCAGGGAAAGGTGAGTGGCTGGAGCAGCAGGCTTGGGGAGGGCACATGGGGGCCTGCTCACCTACAGCGTAGTGAGATGGTGGAAATGGGTGTGGCTGTCCCTTGAGATCACTGTCCACCTCCTGCATTTGGCACTACCTGCACCCTCCTCTTAATGGCTTCCTGCTGGAACTGTTCCCTCCACCTGGATTGCCAGTCTTCCTCCCCCGCTGCTGCCTTTGAAGTCCTTGGAGCCCAGACTCAAATGCCATGTTTTATGTGAAACCACAGGAGGCCACTTTCCTCCTTCTCTGCTCCCCATTCTGTTAAGGAAGGGACACAAGAGCATGGTGGAAAGAGCCTGTGCTCTGGACTCAGCCAGACCTGGGTTTGCATCCCAGCTCTGTTCATTACTAGTTGTTTGACCTTGGACGTGGACATGTACTTCACCTCTCTGAGCTTTAATTACTTCATCTGGAAAATGGGGACAAAAACACCTGTAGGGGCTCTGAATGAGGAGTAAGCCGCAGTGCCAGGATCAGCGCTGGGCTCATGGGGAATGCCTGGGGAACTGACAACTTTTGCTGTGGCAGGTACCAGAGCACCTGGCATCACAGTTAGCTGGGAACACATCTGCCTGCCCACCAGGCTGGTGTGTAGAAGCACTTGTGGCAGGGCAGGGACAATGTCTTCCTCCCTTCCCACCTCCTCCCCTGCTCCCCAGCACCCCTTGGCAGGACTGAGAGCACCGTGTAGCACGGGTGCCCAACCAGCGTCCGCAGAGTTGAACCAAGCGGCAGAGGGGTCCAGCCAAGGCCCCTGCGGAGAGTCCCGGGCAGAGGGTGGCCAGGGAGGGCCCTACCACTCACCCCGCTGCCTCTCCCTACAGTTTCGGGAGAATGTCCAGGATGTGCTGCCCACTCTGCCGAATCCGGATGACTATTTTCTCCTGCGCTGGCTCCGAGGTGAGGGAAGAGGGGCTGTGGGAGGCTGGGGTAGGGGCTTGTTCTGGGTGACACAATGGCACCCTCTGAAAACCCTGCCCCTGGCAATCTGAGAATCTGGAGTGTTCAACCTTTAGAGCCAAAGGGGCCCTGGCAGTTACATAACCTCAACCTTCCCAGGGGATAGATAAAGACACCGAGGGTCAGAGAGGTGAAGTGACTTGCTCCAAGTCACACTGTGAGCAAAGTGCAGGCAGAGGAAAGACGAAAGTCCAGGTGTGTTGCCTCTTAGCTCGAAGCCATTTCCATCCACTCAAAAACTCTGCTCTACTGATGCACCTGCGGAAATGGGCTGAGGAAAAGCCTAGAAAGGCCCCAGCCATGTGGGAAGTGGGAGGCAGTTTAGAACCAGAGTCCTGCCCCCTGGGAGAGGCTGGCCCTGCTGTGCCCTGCTGGGAGGGCAGGTCCCCTGCTGACCGCAGTTTAGGCAGCTTGAAGGAGGGGCACTATGCAGGGGAACCTGAGGGGCCCAGCCTGACCTGGGGTGACAAGAATCCCCTCAAACCACTGCCAGCCCCCAGAGCCCGATTTCTAGTTCCAGCCGTGCCCTGGCCTGGCCGTGGCACCTGGGCCAAGGCAAACAGCTTCCCTGAGCTTCTCCTCTGGGAGAGCAGGATGTGACGGGGTGCCCTGCCTGTTGCGAGACATGACACCACAGAGCTCTGCATGTGGCAATGAGACACACACATTTCCACTAGCATCGGGATCAAACTCAGCCTTGTCCCCAGCTCCCGAGACCCTCCCTTCTTCTCCCTCCTCTCCTCTCCTGTGATTCCAGGTCATGTGCCACTCTCCCTGGTTCTTCTGACACGCTTTTTTGGCCTGTATAGAAACTTTGTTAACAGATATAGAAATAATAAAACTCCATTGCATTAGATTCTCAGAGCTTAAGTTTGTGCTGTAGAATCATAGCCCCAAATATCAAAGTACAAATCATGTCCTGTTACTTCTCCATGGGCACAAACACACATATGCCTGCCCCAGGAGTCTCCGGACAGGTGAAGGGATATATTTTCCTTCTCTTTCCAGAAATTCCACAGCGCTGGTATGCTCTTGAGGGACTGCTAGCACACACCTGAGAGCATATGCATCCGGGAGAGCCATGTGCGGCCTCCTGTGCCTCTGGAAGTGTCACTTGCCCCTTTCCTAAAATAAGCTTCGATCCCACCCCCTAGCCCACCACTCAGGGAGGGTGGAGAGGCAGAGTGGGGGCGGCAGTGGAGCCAGTCCAGGCTGGAGGAAATTTTGGCCTAGCATTTGCTCAAGGGCTGGAGCTAGAAGCAGGTGGGTGGAGAGAGTGGGAAGACTGTGGCCTCCTTAAAGGGCCAGTTGCAAGATGATCCAACAATCTAGGAGCTGCTGTTAGGCAGTTTCAGAGAACTGTTGAACAGCAACAAAGCTCTCTTTTATCTAGAAAAGGGCCGGCCGACCCTTTATCTAGAAAAGGGTCCTGGCAGCTGGTCTCCCAGACACCCCCACTCCTGAGTCCTGGGGTAACCCTCTCTTTGCATAAGGCGGATAGTTCACCAGCTACACTTATCTATCAAGCACAACCTACCCCCTCAAGGAATATCAGAGAGTTTGTCAGCCTCATTTGCCAGATGAGAAAACAGGCTCAGAGAGGCGAGGGGACTTCCCTAAAGTCTCACAGTTAATGTGAAGCAGAATCAGGGCACACACCTAGGGCCCCAGACCCAAGGCCAGCATCCTGTCCAGGAAGCCACCGCTGCCCCCTGAAGCCAAGTTCAGCCTCTTAAAACAGAGGCAGCGTCCCCTTCTGTGTGTCATTTGTGCTTCCCATTTCCTGGGCAGGAGCTCAGGCCTGGTCAGAACCTATTGTGAATTTCAATGAGGGTTTTTGTTGCCTTTAAAACAACAACAACAAAAAAGACCCTTTTCTCTTTCTCCCTTTGATTCTAAAGGAGACATCTCAAGCCACACACCAGCGTGTGTGGACACTAGAGACAGACACTAGAGTGTCTGTCTCTAACCTAGGTGTGAGTTTGGGGTTCCCTTCCTTCTTTCCCCCATGTGGGGTTCAGCTTTCTGCTGGCCCCCAGGCATTGTGAACAGGTGCACGAGTCTCCCCTGCCCCCTCACGACTGGGGCTGTGCTCTGGGCACCCCAGCGGGCGGGATAAGCAAGATAGAGCAAGGCGCTGGTGGGGACCCTGTAAGGGAGGCAGAGCAGGTCTGGGTCCCTGCGTTGCACAGGACTACGGAACCCAGGACAGCTGGGCCTGGGCCGGTTCCTCTTGCAGTGCCCCAAGCCAGGCTTTGGGCTGCCCCTGAGCAGAGCACCAGGAGCCCTGGGGAGGCCGGATGGAGCAGTCATGGGGGCACCATGTGGGGTACCCCCAGGAGCAAGTGGCAACTCGGGGAGAGCGCTCGCAGAACATACTGGATGTTGGGCCCTAACAGATCAGGATTAATTGGAGAGTCTCCCCCCACCGCAGATGAGATATGGGGGCTCACAGTTTGCCACCACTCCTGTCCCCTAGAAAGATAAGAGCTCTTCTCACAGCAGGGGTATCCTTCCTATGGGAGCTTCTCATTTTCATGGTCCAGCTCCCCCATCATGAGAGGACATTGCTTTATATCTTCCAAGTGTTTCTAGCTTATTAGATGATTCCATCAGAGATATGCAGTGTATTGTCCAAGGTCAAACAGAAGAGTAGAAGGGCCGGGATGCGAACCCAGATGATGATTCCTCTAGAAACCACCCCAAGTGACTGCAGCAGCACATGGAGGGCGGTAGTCAGCTCTGCCAGTCTGGGTCCAGCACGAGTGGTGGGCGTGGCATTGGGGACATCTCTTGATGCACGCACTCTCTGGGCCCAGGAGAGAGGACTAGATTTCACGACAGCAGAGTCAGGGAATGTGCTGGGCACTCACTGGGAGCGATGATCAAGGGACCGGTGACAGTCCAGAGGGCAGCCTGTCTGGCCCAGGTTCCAGGGCTGTCAGCAGATCTAGATGCCAACCAAATCCACAGAGGACATACGGCTGGGAGGGACGGTTCATAGGTCAGGCTCAGCAGCATGCAGGAGAAAAGGATTTGGGGGTTGCGGTTGACTGTAAGCCCCACCAGAGTTAAGGATGTGAGTGACTGTTGTCAAGAAAGTTCTTAAGAGAACACCTGGCGCTGTCTGAGCACACTCTAGAGGGATACTGCAAACTGGCAAACATTGCAAGGGGGGTTATTTGGATGGACTTGAAGCCGAGCTGTGAGGTTTGGTAAAGGCTCCAAGGATGAGCAGCCTGATAGCGAGGGAACAAAGGAACAGCACAGAACTTACCAGTCTTGGAAGGGCCATCATGTGGCTGAGAAAGCAACCCTGCTGTCTATCTCTGGAGCAGATCTCAGCTCTGCGTGACAATGGGCACTGAGTGCAAATGGCAGCTAGGCAAGCTATGATTACCTAAGAGCAGGTGGCCTCGGGGGACAGTGAGGTCTTTGTGTTCAAGCTTGAGCAGGACAACTTGTTGGGGGTTCATGCATAAAATAAAGCCTCGGTCCAGGTGGACTTTAATTCTGAAACTTTCCAGGAGCCCTGAGAGGAGGGCTCTTTGTGTCCCTTTAGGGCATGTGTGGATCCTCTGAGGCCATGACACGGTTGGTTGGAGGCTCATCAAATCCCACTGGGATATTCCACCAGCTCCGCCCCAGATTACAGGGGCAGCCGTGTTCATCTTTGCACTGTAGGTCAAGTTCTCAGTTGGACATTAGACTGTGGTGAAGATAAACTTTGTGGAAGAGGGGAAGGCCAAATGATAACGGGGTCCAGGGTTCACTTTTGCTGAGAGGAGAGAAGACCTTTCATCTAATTGCATCCGCTGGAGTCCAACTCCTGGCCCGAAAGTTGCAATTTGGTGCCTCCAAGTGCCCTGAACCTTGAATTGCTCTCCCCACAAGCCCAGGGCCCGCCGTGCTCCAGAAGCCCTCATGAAAGTCCCTCCTATTAGCGTCTGCAGGTGGGATGAGCTGAGAGTCAGCTGGGGACATGACTGGGAGGAACTGGCCCCATCATGGGACTAGGGGACTCTCCCACCCTTGAACACCCTGTCTGCTGGCCTAACCCTGACCACATTTCCCTGTTACAGCAAGAAGCTTCGACCTGCATAAATCAGAGGCCATGCTCCGGAAGGTGAGATCCATTTGCCTCCAAATCCCACTGTTGCCTCAGTTTCTCCCCAGCAGAACCACATCTTACTTGGACATCTTTTGCCCACTCCCAACTCTGATCACAGCCTTTGGCTTGTGGGACATATCTGATGACTAGCCGACCACTGTTGTCTTATCCCGCTGGGACACAGTGCATTCCCTGCAAAGGCAGGCTTTCGTAGTTCCGGGCCAGCCAAGAATACTAATCTGTTCTGCTGAGGCCTCTGAATCAGGCAGAGCCTTCTTTTCTGTTGCCGCCTACTGCCTCCTGGGGAGCACCTGTGGTCTGGTGGTCTGGTCATGCTGTCACTTATTGTTAGAGGTCAATTAACCTCCCCTGCCCCACTTCTTAAAATTCCTGATTGTGTATTTGCAGCATGTGGAGTTCCGGAAGCAAAAGGACATTGACAACATCATTAGCTGGCAGCCTCCAGAGGTGAGGACAAATTACCCTGCCACATCCCTATGCTATGCCTATTAGACCCACGACCTGTGTCCCGGGCCTATTGGACTGCTGGGACCCTCAGAGGAGAGGTCTGACAATGCCAAGTGAGGCATGATGGTTTCCAGAATGGGTATCCACTGGCATGCAGGGAGGCATGTGTTTGGCTGCCTGCTGACCAGGTGGGTGCCTCTTGTATGTCTCTGCCCAGGTGATCAGGCAGTATCTGTCAGGGGGCATGTGTGGCTACGACCTGGATGGCTGCCCGGTCTGGTACGACATCATTGGGCCTCTTGATGCCAAGGGTCTGCTGTTCTCAGCCACCAAACAGGACCTGCTCAGGACCAAGATGCGGGACTGTGAGCTGCTTCTGCAGGAGTGTGCCCGCCAGACCACAAAGGTGAGCGGCCCGCCACGGCTGACGGTGAGTTGGCCGTGGCGGAGGCATTCAAGCGGAAACAGGGATGTCGTGTAGGAACTGAAGCATAGCTTCAGGGCTGAGGCCCAGGGTTTTGGATTTCATAGTCAGGGAAATTTCCAAGTTTTAGAGACTGACATAATGTTGACACATACTTATTTTGCCAAGTAAGGACTTAAAAAAATTACCGTCTATTATTGCCATAATTAACACCAAAAACTACAGGAGTGGCATCATCTCAGAATAAAAGGCAGCCCTTTACATTGAATAAATGTAGCTTCATAAAAAACTCAATACATTATTATTATTTTTTTTATTTACCTGGGGACCAGTGAAATCTTTGTCATGGACCAATCCATCCTTGGGCAAGTATTTGGGTACCACTGGCATAGATGATTTCAGATTCTATGCTTCTCTAACTCAGTATTCACAAAAGATAAGGAAAGGCTGGGCGTGGTGGCTCACACCTTTAATCCTAGCATTCCAGGAGGCCAAGGTGGGAAGATCACTTGAGGCCAGGAGTTTGAGACCAGCCTGAGCAAGAGCAAGACCCCATCTCTACTAAAAATAGAAAAAATTAGCTGGGCAAGGTTGGCATGTGCCTATAGTCCCAGCTACTCGGGAGGCTGAGGCTGGAGGATCGCCTGAGCCCTGGAGTTTGAGGCTGCATTGAAGGCCTGAGTGATAAGTGGCTGCAGAGAGCATACGGTGAGTCAGAGGAAGAGGGAGGCCACCAGGCCACACTGCAGCACAGAAGGGACCTCCGATGAGATCTAGATCTGCCCAGTCATTTACTAGATGAGAACACTGTGTCCCAGGCAGGAAGAGTGACTCGCCTAGGTCACAGTTCCGGCCTGGGGTGATCCTCTTGATTTGGAAACCCTTAGCTCTAGCCGTGTCCGGCTCTGGTTTGCTCTGTGGTGCGTGGTGCAGTCGGCGTTTGCCCTGGACCAGGGTGGGCTTCTGCGGTGTGGCAGCCTGCTGTGACTTCCTGCTCTGTTCCCTGCAGCTGGGGAAGAAGATCGAGACCATCACCATGATTTACGACTGTGAGGGGCTTGGCCTTAAGCACCTCTGGAAGCCTGCCGTGGAAGCCTACGGAGAGGTGAGGGGCAGGGGCAGGGGCAGGGCGGTGGGCGGGAGGGCTGGGCCTCTGCTGGGCTGCCCGGTGGGGTTGGGGTGGCAACGGGGACACATCTAGCCTGGAGGAAGCAGGGCCTCCCTCCCTGGCACGGAGGTCTGGGCCTGCTGGAATCAGAGTGATTTTGTTTCCCCAGTTTCTCTGCATGTTTGAGGAAAATTATCCCGAGACACTGAAGCGTCTTTTTGTCGTTAAAGGTAAGCTGGGCATTGCCTGCGATGGAGCTGAATGGGAATATTCCTGGGGCAGATCAAGGAGAGTAAAACCCAGTGAGCCAAGGTGCAGGGGGGTCTAAAGACTTGGTCAGGAGACTGCCCCTGGACATGCGCAGATCACTTTGCAATTCGCAGAGCTTCTGGTGTTTATCATTAGTACCTCCTCCGAGCCCTCCAGCCTGATGAGACAGAAGAGACCCATGGGTACCTCGAAGAGGTACCCACGCTAAGCCTCACGTCCTGGGCTCCACAGCGCTAGGGAGCGTGTGTCCCGACGTGGGGTCGGGGGTGGCAGAGGACACTGCTAGGCGCAGACCGGGCACTGCTCCCGGCCTCGCATCACCCGGGCTTTGTTCCAGCGCCCAAGCTGTTTCCCGTGGCCTACAACCTCATCAAACCCTTCCTGAGCGAGGACACTCGTAAGAAGATCATGGTCCTGGGAGGTGAGTATTCCAGACTCTTCTCTACTGTACAGGATGGTCTGTGGCCCAAACTGGGCCTGGCTTCAGAGGTGCCACCATAGCCACCAGGGTGAAGGCTCCCCTTCTACTGTTTGGTAGCAGTGGGACCCAGGGGCAAGCTGGGGCCATCCTGTTTTCATAAAATCTCTGGGCGAGCACTGGGCTCATCAGTGTAGATTCAAAGATGAACTGAAACTCCAGTCCTTGCCCTGAAGGAGCTTACAGTATAACAGGAGAGAGAAGACCTAGAGAGAGTAAGTTTTGGCACAAACTAGAAAAGGCACTAGAAAAGGCACTAGAAGGTGACACAGGTCACAGGAGCAAGGTTGCTTTTAGCTGGGGCCAAAAAGGAGTGGCTTCATTTGACAAGCACCTAGTACGTGCCAGGCCGTGGACGAGGTGCCAAGGCCACAAAGGGGAGATGGAGTCCACTGGAGACCTTGTGGCCTCTTCCGACACACGTGTCATCAGCACGCCATGGTGAATGTGAGGAGGGGAAGGCACTCAGTGCACGGGGGCGTCGAGCAAGGGCGCTCACCCCGCCTGAGCGCGGCAGGACGTGACACCTACCTAAGCTGCGTGCTGCAAATGGATAAGAGTCAGATAGAGCAAGGCGGGAAGCTGCCTGGATGAAAGAACAGCATTGAACAGACGTGACACAGCATGGCACAGGCAGCTGACATGGAATGCCAGGCAGGGCGCGGCAAGAGATGAGGCTAGAGAAAGAACCAGGATCCAGGGCACAGAGAATCCAGGGCACCATGTTGAGAAGCTGGGACATGACTCTACAGGCCACTGAGAACCAGAGAAGAGTTTTTGGCAGGGGAGCACCACAATGGGAATTTAAGCTGAGGCATTATACCAGCAAGATTGTGAAGGCCAGAGAGACCAGTTTGCACACTGTTGCCATAGTGTGTGCAAGACGAGTCTCGAGCAGTAGTGATAGGGATAGAGAGAAGGTGGATTTAGGCCTTATTTAGAAAGCGAAACAGCAGAACTCTATGGACAAGATGTAGGAGGGAAGAAAGAGAAATCTAGAACGATCGCCTGATGTCTGGCATGACTAGATGGTAATGCGTTAGTTCAACTGGGGGAAACGCTGGAAGAATAGGCTTGAACAAGCTTGAAGCTGAGTTTGAGGATGGTGTGAGATATACAGATATTGGGATTACTTGATTCTGAAGCTTAGGAGAGAAGTCCAGTCTGGAGATTTGAGAGGTGTCAAATAAAGGTGGCGGCCTCAACCCTGACAGTAGCTGAGACGGCCCACGGAAGAGCGGAGGCTGAGCCCTGGGGAATAGCCAAGCTCAAGGGCAGGCAGTGAAGGAAGAGCCCACCAGGGAGACTGAGAAGAAGTGATTAATGAGGTTGGCAGAGAAGCAGGTCAGCAGGGAGTGGCTGCGCAGGGAAGTGGGGGAGAACATCAGGGCACAAGGGAAAGTGTGACCCAAAACCCAGCAAGGAGGACACGCAGGAATCCAGCCAGCCAGGGACAGGCAGGAGTTCAGTTTTGCAGGAGGAGGAAGTGGAGCAGTGGGAGAAAGGGCTGGAAGTGTGGATTGGGACAGCCTCATGGAAGGCTTGATGCCACCTATGGAGTTGAACTTGGGGATAGGTAATAGGGATTCTGAAGGTTTCTGAATGTTCCCCTTTAGGTGACATGTTAAAAGTGGAGATTTTCCAAATGTGTGCCAGTGAGACCCGGGGCAGGAGAGTGAATTCGTGAGGAAAGTGTAGGACTTCTGGGCTCTGGTCCTAGCTCAGGCGGTAAAAAGTTCTGCTTCTTGTTGCCTCAGTTACTCTCTCTGTAAAACGGGAAGAATCCTCCCGGCCTTATCCCAATTCTCCAGCTGAAATGGGGGAAGAAATATAAAATCTATGCAAAAGGCTTTATGATTTTTGGTTTTTCTGCTGCTACCACCCACCCTGTGCACGAGGCGGTTTGGTTTCCTGGCAGCAGAGCTGTGTAGGAGGCTCAGTCTGTTCTCCTACCCACACCTAAAACTCTTTCAACCAAACCTGCCTTGGGCTGGGAAGGGACAGGATCTTCAACAGAGGAGGGGAAAAATCCAATCTGGGCTGGTCATTGGAGCTTAGCAGTGTAGATTAAATCACCCCAAGACCACAGACACTGTGTTCCCAGGAGTTGCATGGTCTCTGGTCCCTAAAAATCTGAGGGCTGGTAGACCCTGGACAGTCTCTGTGGGTTTCCAGCCAGCAAAGCACAGAGGTCACTGGGTTATACCCCATGGCTTGGGGCTGCCGCCTATATAGGCATGGAACGGTTTCCTGCATCAAAATGTTGTACTTGGCTGGTATTTGTTTACAAATTTGGATTGGTAGAAAAGTGGTTCTCGGCATTGGCTGTACCAGAGTGAAACTCTCCTAGTCAGGAAAGGGCTTGGTTATTAAAAACAAAAACAAACAAACTAAAGGGGGCCAAGTCCCTGTCAGCTAAATAGCTGAAAACAACAGGAGCATTAGTGAAACTGGCTAAGGAAAAGCCAAGGGGACCCATTTAAGGGGTCACTCTACAGTGATGCATTTATTCATGAAGACACGATTAGGGGTAGGGGAAGGTGGGGGAAATCTGCTGGTATTTGGGTTGGAGGGGGTGGTGGGGTGGTGGATGGGTTTTTTCTGCCTCTTTAGTGTAGACCACCAGGGTTATGTATGGTGGAACCTTACCTAGTGGTGAGATGAATCTTTCTCCTTCCTTCAGCAAACTGGAAGGAGGTTTTACTGAAACATATCAGCCCTGACCAGGTGCCTGTGGAGTATGGGGGCACCATGACTGACCCCGATGGCAACCCCAAGTGTATATCCAAGGTATGGGCTGCCAGGGGCTGGAGGTGAACAGGGAAGCCTGGCTCAAATGCACATTCTAGCTCACTCCATGCTCTGCTTCTAGATCAACTATGGGGGCGACATCCCCAAGAAGTATTATGTGCGGGACCAGGTGAAACAGCAGTATGAACACAGCGTACAGATTTCCCGCGGCTCCTCCCACCAAGTGGAGTACGAAATCCTCTTCCCTGGCTGCGTCCTCAGGTAGGGCCTTCTGGGAAACCTGAGCCTTTCATCTGTAGGTGGCTGGGGTGGGAGGAGCCCTGGTGCCAAGGCCCCAGAGAGGACACACACAGACAGAATTATGTCTAAATGGGTGATGTCCCCTGCAGGTGGCAGTTTATGTCGGACGGGGCAGATGTTGGTTTTGGGATTTTCCTGAAGACCAAGATGGGAGAGAGGCAGCGGGCAGGGGAGATGACAGAGGTGCTGCCCAACCAGAGGTACAACTCCCACCTGGTCCCTGAAGATGGGACCCTCACCTGCAGTGATCCTGGCATCTGTAAGTAGCTCTGTCTTGGCAATGTCCCGAAGCCCCTGTCCAGCTTTCTGCCTGTGAGTCTCCTCTTCCTCCATGGATTTTTGGCTCTCAGAATGTTAGAACCAGAAATGGGACTCCATCAGTTCAAGTCTCTCCTTGTGGAGATGAAGAAAACTAGGCTTGGAGAGGTGATATGACTTACTCAAGGTGACCCAGCTGGTTAGCAGCAGGGTGGGACTCTGACCTGATACTCCCAGGCACAGGTGAGTCACAGTCCTAGATCACGTGATCACGGGGCTTCAGCTCATCTGGTCCAGGTCTAACTGGGCTTGTGACTGGCCTGACATTTCTTGGGGATGCTCCTTCCCAAAGGAGAGAGCGGCGGGACTGGCTGGGTGGGCACAGGATCACAGGGTGAGCAGAGTGCTGAAAAGTCCTGCCTTGTCCCCTCTGAGCCTCCCCCATCTCTGGGTTGACCAAAGAATGGACACAGTGAACAGGCAGTTCCCACAAGAGTGGCAAATAGACATTTAGGAAGGTGTTTAACCTTGCTTGACTTTCCAATATCGATTAAAATTCCCTTTGACTCAGCAATTCTACTTCTGGAAAATTTACACAGAAATATTTACACAAATACACACAGATACTAGAAGAAGGATGTTCCCAGCAGCCTAGAAAATGGGCAGTAAACCACGTGGCCATAAGGTCTTGTTAAATAATTTATAGTCCATCCAGACAATGGAATATCATATACCTGTTAAAGAGAATAAATTGACACATAAGATGTCTGATACATTTAGATACATGTTAAACGAACAAGCATGAAACATAGCATGTATGGTAGACATTCAACTTCGGTTAAAAAAAAAAAGTGTGTACACAGTAAAAGAATTCTGGGGAATCTCTGCTAACCCAGAATGGTTATCTCTGGGGCGTTAGGATGCTTATGGCTGGCTTTCATTGTTATACTGTTTCTGCAAATATATTTTATAATGACTATGCACTCCATTTATAAGTAGAAAAACCACACACACACACATACACATACACACGGTCAAATCTCCAGTTTCCTTTCTGTTAGAGCCAATGGAAAATCAATGAGAACAAGGGCTTTATCATCAGACCTGAGCTGGACTTGACCACTGACTAGCTGCATGGCCTTAGGCAAGTGACAAATCCTCCCTAAACTTGCTTCCTGGTTGCTACAGTGGGAGTCTCACAGCGACACCCAATAATTTAATGTGATAAGGTCTTTGAGGCATTTAGCATAATGCCTGGCATACAGCAGACACTCAACACAGTGTAGTTGCCACGGTTATGGCAAGGGTTGGGGGAGAAGCCCTGTGCCCCAAGTCTATAGCAGTCCGGCCAGGAGGTCTGAACTAGCCCCACACAAGTCTCGCCCCAGCCTCTGTGCCTGTCCACACCATCACCTAACCTGAGACTCCGCCTCCTCCCTCGCACCCCAGGCAACTTCAGCCTCCACCACCCCCTCCCCACAGATGCTCTTAGCTCCCCAGGGCGGGGGGAGTATTCTTGTTAGTGAGCAGCAGGGTTGGTGGGGGGAGGCGTATACCGTTTGCTTCAGCAAGAACAAGACTTAACACCCACCCAGAAAATGTCACCCACGGAGGATAAAGCACTTCAGACATACAAACTGGAATTTCTTTTTTTAATGGACAGAGAAGCTGTGGTATAGGAAAGGAATGTTCTCTCTCTCACAAAGTAGCTTGTATAGACACCAAAAGACAGAAGATACCAGATAATCCTAGAGTCCCAGTCCAGGACATCTTGGCCACAGGCTGTCCTTGAGGTGACAGAGAAGAGAGTGCAGTCCCAGACCAGGGAAGTGATTGACCCAAGGTCACAGAGCCAATAGGCGAGCCACAGTGGCTCTTCTATCCGCTCTTTAGTATCTGAAGGAGTAGCCTGAGAAGAAACTGCGAACCTTTTAACATAATCAGGCTTAGGTTTGCAAATCCCCGATTTATTTTAGTTCCTCTTGGATACACTCCTGACAGAACCATTACCTTCCTGCAGGGCCTTCATTGGGATCTGCTAGTTGCCCATTCCCAGGAGGAGCAGGGTCAGGCCACAGCGTCCACCCTCCATCCCAGGTGTAATGACAATGAGGCAGATCAGCTGTCATCTGGGGCCATGGCTGGGGTTAGACCCGAGCCCAAGGAGAACCCGGTGCTCAGGTTACATGCTCACCTGCAGAAGGGCAATGCCCTGGGAGAACAGGTGTGCCCTGGAAAGTGGAACATAATCACCCAGTGGAGACATTAAAATCTGTGCCAGCCTCAGTGGCAAGTGCACATTATCCCTGCCCCAGTCCCTTCGGTCCTTGTCCACGTCTACTAAACTGAGGAAGAGGACCAAAGTTCAAATTGATTTAACTTTTGTTCTCTTACTTGATTTTTATTGAGGGCCTGTTTATTATAATAATAGTATAGGATATTCGACTAGGAATGAAAAGATTCAGGAAAAAGACCTGGTCTTTGTCTACCAAGAGTGCACAATGTCGTCTAGAAGACCGGAAATGCTGCAGGAAGGTCAAACAGCATGGCCAGCCCGTGCTGCAGGGAACAGACCCCAGCTGTGCATCTGGACGCCTGGTTTCTAAGCCCAGCTTTGTCACTGACTCTCCCAGTTTTTCTTAAAAGACCCACTACAGAGCATTTCCCAGTGTTCTGAGCAAGTGTCTCTAAATAAATACATTTGGCTTTTCTTCTCCTTAAAATGAAATGAGTGGACAAGAGCAGGAGATATTAATCTAGGGTCCCCTGGAACAGTGGTTCTAAATCCTACAGCCCAAACACTCCCCTTTTATAATAGTGTCTAGTGTCCCCTTTATTATTCTGAAATGAAACTCATAGGTAATGTAATCTACCTACCCACATAATTTAAAATTCAATATAATTTCCTATCTGTAATAAAGAGAAATAAAAGCTTACATATATATTTATATTTTCCAATATATGAATGAGAGTGCAAGATTATACCTATGCCCTCACACCCTCCTCTTCAGAATAGAACCTTTCCCATTGGGAACCAGTGCCCCAGATGGTCTATGTTAGACTCCAGGGAATCTGAAATTGCATGTTTTTATCAGATTCTCAAAGGGGTCGGTTACCCATCAAAAGCTATGGAGCCTTAGCCTGGAGGATCTCTGGGGGCTCTATGAGTCTATGAGCACATGATTAGTGTCAAAATGAACCGTGCAGACTCTGGAGTTGCAGTGATTCCATTTCCCTTGGGCCTGTGTGTCCGATCAACCCCTTCCTTGTTTCTAAGGCCAAATATCTTGCTAGGCAAAGCCACCTCAATCCTGGTACTTGGTCCAAGGAACTCAAAGGACCTCTCCTCCATCATGGATAATTGGTTGCTAAGGCTTTATCATCCAGGGCAGAGAGGAAGCTTCACTCTTTCCAGAGAGACTGTTGGTCCTAAAAGACCGCTGGCACAGAGTGAACACACAGGACTGATTCTCACTTCACACCATGGAGGAAGAGGTGGTGGTATGTCTAGCCTTGGTCTATATGATGCATTTTATCCAGGGTCGGGAAAAGGTTAAGTCTTATGATTAAATCCAGTTTTATTTCTTGTTGGGAAAACTGAGAAAAAAACCAGGATAGGGAAGAGGCAGAGCTAGTATTTTTGTTTTCATGCTCGGTTCTCTTGAAGGGGTGTTTGGCCGAAATTGGAATAACTTCTCAAAGAAACAGGGTTGGGTTAAAAGCAGTCTGCTCCTTTGCCAAGGCCTGGGAGTGTTCTCTGCCAAGTGCATGCCTATTTTCTCTTTCTAGATGTGCTAACACGTCTTTTCTATTATCCTAGCAAATATTTTCCAATCCTCTAGAAGCATTGCGTTTCCATAATAAACAAGAGTATACACACACGTATACATTCACAAGAATTAAGTCAGTCACTGAGTGTATGTTCAAAGGAATTTTGAAACTGTAAAACTCATCATAGGATTTGAGAAAACTTTTCCTTTAGTACAAGCACCTGAGTGGCATTATCAAAGAGAACCTGAGAGTGTAGGTAGACCAAATAGCAAAGCAAAAAAAGATTAGTTAACATATATATTATCAAAAATGTTACAAACTATTTACAAGCTGTTCTGCAACTTTTTGGCCCCAGAATATATTGTGGACAGTTTTCGCAGTCCCTTCTATGGAGCTAACCTCTTTCTTTTTACATCAGAATAGTATTCCATCCTATGGACTACAATATAAATTGTTTAAACAATTCTCTTTTGATGGACTTTCCAGTTTTCCCAGTTTTAGTATTAAAAACAGGAATGCAATGAGCATCCTTTCTAGTTCAAAAAGTTTGCACATTTTACCTTTTGTTAGAAACTGAACAGGGCCAGGCCTTTCAGGGCCCAAGTCTGGCAGGACAAAGGCAGCAATGTAGATCAGAGGGAAATTCTAGCTCCATCATTTCCTCCCTGTGTGACACAAGTACCTTTTTATCTGATATAAAACAGGATTGATGCTGAATTTGTAAGAGTTGTGAGGAAGGGCAAGATGACATATATACATTACTCACCTAGTGCTGCAATACATGAACAGTCATTATTACTATTACCACTATTGTTACAATTCCTACTGCTGCTAACAATTCTACTCCCCCCTTTCAAAGCCCAGTTCAAACTCGAACTCTTCTAAAAAGCCTCTTCTAAAAAGCCCCACATGATTTTGGGTTACTGGGCGCTCAAGCTGTTACAGACGTGATAGTCTCTGTACTCATCTGGCGTTTGGCATGTTCTGCCTCCTATTTTTTTTTCTCCATGAATGTCCTGTTGACCCAGCTAGATTAAGTTTCAGAAGGTCAATGGCCATTGCTTATGCCACCTTCATTCCCACTACCTACCTCACTGCCTTGCTCAGTCAATAAAATTCAACAAAAATCGCTGTCCCCAAGCCCTTTGTCAGAACTGCCTGAATGTCTGGTTTCTGCCTCCCCTCAGATGTCCTGCGGTTTGACAACACCTACAGCTTCATTCATGCCAAGAAGGTCAGTTTCACTGTGGAGGTCCTGCTTCCAGACAAAGCCTCAGAAGAGAAGATGCAACAACTGGGGTCAGGCACCCCAAAATAACGCCTTCTCCTACAGCAGGCCCTGCCCCCTCAGTGTCTCCCGGTCAATTTCTACCCCTTGTAGCAGTCATTTTCCCACAACCCTGCAGCCCAAAAATTTTGGGCTGGAGGAAAGACCTCAGGCTGGATCTGGGGAGCTTTCATTTCAGAATCAGGAAGAGAAGCAGCTGGAGTGGGTCTCCTTGCCTCTCAATTTGCTAAGGAGTCCCCAGGGGCTGGCCACTGTGATAGGATCTCTCAGTCCTGTAAAGTGTGCCAACTTCACCTGTCCAGTGACAGCTAAGATACGAAGGGGGGGGTACCATGGGGTGGCAGCAGGGAAGAAATTAGCAAAAGAGTTAAAGATTAAGTGTTAAGATTCTAACACTTCAGGGAAGCCAGCTGCAGAGAAGGAACTTGTTCCCAAATGAACACATAAGTTTAGATCATAATGAGGAGTAGCAAGGTAGCTGGTTGCTAGAGTTATGGTGGGGCTCAGAGGCTCTTTCCAGCTTTTTATTACTGAGGCTGGGGTATCTCTTGGCTTTAACCAGGTCTCAGGAGGTGGCCTTGGGTCAACACAGATCTTCCCACTCAGGGGTAGACAGGCAGGCCTCTCCCTTACCTTGAGAACTACAGCAATTCCTGGGCTCCATTGCCTGCCTCTTTAATAACTAATGATTTTCAGTGACTCAGACCTTCCTGGGACTTTTGGTATCCACCCACTGTTCTCCAACGTAAACAAAGCACAAGGGAAATTACCTCTAGGGATCAAAGCTCTGGGAAGGGCCAGAGGTTGGGGGTGGGAGTTGAGTCTTAAAACGAGGAGGGGGAGGTCTTCCAGTGCCCTTTTCAGTGCTACCTGCCTCTCACCAAGTAATCCTACATTTGAGCACCCCAGACAAAAATGGTAAGTGGGATCAAGACCTCGATTTGAACTACTCAGAGAGGGTATTTCCCAGGCTGAGTCTCCCACGGTGCCACCAACCGTGCTTCCTGACTGACCCGAGCAAGGCCTTGACACTCCCATCTCTGTGGGAGGCAGACAATGGATGCAGTGGGCTCCTCGTGGCTAGCTAGGTCGGGAGGCTGCCTAGGCGGGAGGACAAAGGCAGGGCCAGCATCTCGCAGAACCAGGGACTGGGGGCGGCCACGGACAGCCCTAGAAAAACCACGACACTTAAAGCGACCCCACACGCCCTGCCTACGAACCCCAGGTCCTGGACTGCACAGAACATTGGAAAGGCAGCCCCAGACCTCGCGAGAACTCGTTTCTCTCAGAACCCAGGCCCTGGCCCAGCCTGGGACGCCCGTCTGACGAAGCTGGGGGAGCTCGGGGCAGGGGCAAGGCTAGCGCGGACCCGAAGGGGCCTAGGGCCGTGCCTAGGACATCCCGGCCTTGATTTACAACGCTGTTAGGAAAATTAAACAATGAATAAAGCCACGTTCAGTTCTCAGGGAGTGGAATTCAATGCCCACTGCTCGATTCCTCGCTGCCTCTCACTCAGCAGCCCAAACTCCAGCAGCTTCAGGAGCCCGGTAACGGCTTCAAAGGCGACCAAATTCGTGCGCAGAAACCGTCCGCGGCTCTCATCTCGCGGGAGCTTTCCCATGGGGCCAACGGCCAGCTTGCCGTCTGATTGGCCCAGCCAGTGGGTGATCTTCCGCCATCTTTACTTAGGGCACTACGCGTGCACCTGGCCGCCTTCACAGTGAGGGCGGAGGCCCCGCCCTCTCCGCCTGCTCAGTGCGTGCTCAGCGGTTCGTGAGCGCCTAGTGTAAGGCCTGAAGGGTGCCAGAGGAGCCCGTGGATGGCCCTGAGTGGGAGGAGCTAGGCGGAGGCGCGGCGATGACGTGTTTTAGGGACCGTCTCCTAATTCCGCGCCTGCTCTCCCGCTGTTTCAGGGGCTGGCGACCGCTGCGCCCTCCCACCGACCGGGCCAACGAGCTCGGCTTCCCGTGAGATAACCGCTGGGGGGACACGACCCTACAGTGTGATAGGGGCCCTAGGGCTGAAAACGGGGACCTCCGCAGGGTGGGAGTCAATGGTATTCACTTTCCCCATCTTTACTGGATGATCATAAGAGCTAATTCTTGATGAGGCCTCCTGGGTACCACGCAAAAACGCCGTGCTTACCGCTTTGCGTTGTCACAAAGCAGCTAAGTGCAAAGCGCCGAGAAGAGGGCCGGTGCAAGCAAGCGCTCGGGCTACTCTCGTTTTTGCAGACGTGGGAACTGGGGCTCAGGGAGGCTAACAGCTAAACAGGCGGCACGACTGGGATTTGAACCCAGGTCTCCAAGGGTTCAAGCCTTTGCCTTGCAGATACCCGCAAAGGATTCCTAGAGTTTTAGAGAAGTGCACTCATTACTCACACGGGTAAACTGAGTCCAGCCGGGGAAGGGCTTCCTTCTGTTGTAATCTCTAACCCCCAGACCCTGCATTCTGTTCTCACTTCCCTGGCGTTTCCTACCCCAACCCCGTCTCCTTTGCCCAGTTAATTCATTGATTCAGTCAACATCCTGCCCCTGGGGGCATGCTGATCCTGTGGGATCCGAGTGGCACCAGCAGAGGGGACTCCAGAGTCCGGCATGGCTCGCTCCCCCGCTGCATTTACTGAGCTTTCCTAAAATGCAGGGGATTTGGAACCACACTGACCGGATCCAAATCCCAGCTTCACCACTTAGCAGCTGTGTGTCCTGGGGAAATGACCCACCTTCTCTGTGCCTCTGTGTCCTCACCTGTAAACCGAGATCCCAGGCTGGCGGGAGGGTTTAAGCCATCGAGAGTCCTTAGCCAACGTCCGGGCCGGGAGTAAACTCAATAAATGATGATTATAATCAATCTTCGCTACTATCCCAGGGAGTGGACATGATCGCGTCCCTCATTTTACAAACGAATCGTTGCTGAGACTCAGAGAAGTAGACTCTTGCTCGAGGTCACGGAGCTCTGAAGTGTAGCATCCCTCGATTTGAACCCGGCTTCTTTAGCTCCAAAAACTGCAGCCGGTCCTGAGAGGTTCGCGCCAACGGCTCAGAGATAACGTGAGGAAAACGCCAGCCTGGGAGAGGGGCTTCGGTGCGCGGGGAATTTGCAGACGCTCCCTGCGGGCGGAGAGTGCCTGGTCTGTCCTTCAGCCCCGGACCTTGGCGGGTCCCGGCCCCGCGGACCTAAGTGCTCCGGGCGGTGGAGGCGGCCGCGGACGAAGAGCCGGCCGCAGTGGCCCGAGCCGCGCGGGAGAGCCATGTCGCAGCCGCAGCTGGGGGGCGCCGAGCGCGACCTCTACCGGGACACGTGGGTGCGGTACCTGGGTGAGCGCGGGGACCCGTGCGGCGACCGCGCCCCCGCAAGGCCGGGAAGCGGGGCCCGTCGGACGCCGGCCCGGGGCCTGGAGGAGGCGGGAGGCTCTTAGTTCTCTCGGCGCTTGGGCCGGAGACTGGGCTCAGAGAGGGCTAGGTGCTTGCTCAAGGTCACACCGCCCTGGAGGGACGAGGAGGCCCCCACGAGTGAGCGGGCCGTCCTCTCTGGCGTGCTCGGGCGGCCGTGGAGTCGGGGGTCCGGACTCGCATTCGGCCCTGCCACTCGTTAGCTCCGTCTCCGCCTCAGTTTCCTCCTCGGCACAAAGGGATGAACTCGAGGGCGGCTCTCACTGGGTGGCGGTTGTAAGGGTGGAATGAGATAAGACAGGCCGGGCCCATAGTGAGAGTCCAGTTAGTGGGGCTGCCGTTGATCAGGAAGCGTCTCTGTCACCTCCTTAGTGCTGATACTCCTAGGACAAGGCTCGGAATCTAACCAATGAGCGATGATTGATGACTCTGTGTCCAGGTCTCCCACAGGGGCCCTAGAGTCAAGATAGGCATCCTTGGCACCAGTTTACAGCTCAGAAAGAGAGGCTCAGAGAGGTAAAGTCAGTCGCCTAAGGTCACCCAGCTTCTGCTTAGCAGGCTGGGATTAGAACCAGCTTACTTGAGCGCCCCCTTGTGGAACACGAGCCTGGGAACTAAGTGTCCCCTCTCCCTAGGCTACGCCAATGAGGTGGGGGAGGCTTTCCGCTCCCTGGTGCCGGCGGCTGTGGTGTGGCTGAGCTATGGTGTGGCCAGCTCCTACGTGCTGGCAGATGCCATTGACAAAGGCAAGAAGGCGGGAGAGGTGAGTGTCCCCCCGCCCGGGCGACTCCTCACGTGGTTCAGTCCTCAGCCTGGCATGTGATACAGTCCCCATGGGACAGTGCTCTCCTCACCGCCTTGCCTGGTGCAGTCCATACTTCAGTCCTGTCTGTAGGGTAGTGCACCCTCACCCCCATGTTCCCCCCCCAGACCTGGACGTGGCAGTCTGTATGCCAGTCCTGGGCATGGACAAGTCCACCCCCAGCCCTCAATGTGGTGCAGTCCAGAGCCCCCTGTGCCCCAGCGCTCCCCTGCTGGCCACTCGCCTCTCTCTGGTCCATCCTCATGCCCCTTGTCACAGGGTTTCCTGCCTCTGCCCCAGCTGGATTAAGTGTCTCTGTGCTCACCAGGTGCCAAGCCCTGAAGCAGGCCGGAGCACCAGGGTGACTGTGGCTGTGGTGGACACCTTCGTGTGGCAGGCTCTGGCCTCCGTGGCCATCCCAGGCTTCACTATCAACCGTGTGTGTGCTGCCTCTCTCTATGTCCTGGGCACGGCCACTCGCTGGCCTCTGGCTGTCCGCAAGTGGACCACCACCGCCATCGGGCTGTTGACCATCCCCATCATTATCCACCCCATTGACAGGTGAGTGCCCTCCTGGCCTCAGGGCTCATCCACCCTGCAGGTGGAGCTGGACTCTGAGAGGTGTGGGGCATGCCCACTTTGTACAGGACAGTGGCAGGCTGGCACCCAGGGCTCCTGACATAGAAAAGACAGTCTGTGCCCTTGTCATGTGATCTGGCAGGTACTTTGACAGTGAAGGAAAAGAGGTGCCCTAAGGATATGGGACACAGACAAGGAAATTCCAAGAAAGAAAGCTTAGTGTTACTAAACAACCAGAGGCAGGAAGAAGCAGGTGCACCCTGGATGGGATGGGTTTGGGGAGGTGTTGGTGACAGAAGCCTAACTCAGACTGAATGATTAAATAAAATAGGAATAACATTCCACAGTTGTGTTACTTTGAGGCATGGCTGGACGTAGGTAGCTAATGATGTCATTAGGGCTCTGGGTCACCCATCCTGCTTCCCTTCTTCCACACTACTCCTTGTTGGCTTTTCCCTTGTAGGAGCAGATGGCCCCCAGCAGCTCCCAGCTTCCGTCCCACCAGCTTAGGAAGCCCCATCAGAAGCTTTTTAATAGTGAGAACAAAAATCCCAAGGAAGGTTGTCATTGGTCCATCCCAGACTAGGTGCCCACCCCTGAGCCAGTTTCTCATTTCTGACTGGCCAGGCTTGGGTCATGTGCCTGCTCTTAGAACTAGGGGTGAGGTCAACCCAACCAGACCAACATGGAGTGCAAGGAGTGTTTCTCCAGGGGAACATAACTGATCCTGAGGCCCCGAGCGAGTCCTTTACTCTCTTTGTGCCTTGGTTTTCCCAATTGAATAAAGAAGAGGAAGATGTCTGCCATTCTGGGGGTTTGATTCTGGCTTCTCCAAGTAGCCCAAGGTGGGAAGAGTGGGTTAAGGATGAGTGTCCACCTGGGTGGCATGTGTATCCTGTATCTAGGGGTCCTTTTCCCTAGCCCTGGCCTCAGGCCTCCTATTCCCTCATTGCCACCCATTGGCCACCTGCTCACCACCCTCGCCCTCCCTGCAGGTCGGTGGACTTCCTCCTGGACTCCAGCCTGCGCAAGCTCTACCCGTCGGTGGGGAAGCCCAGCTCCTCCTGATCGTGCAGTGGCCTCTTGCTCGTGCCAACGGCCCGTTCCTGCCAGGAGATGTGGATGCCTGGCTCCCGACTCCAAGACCCTGGCCCCTGAGTTTGAGCCGGATGGGCGCTTAGAAACAAATACCTCAAGGAGCAGTGGCTGCAGTGAGTCCCAGACAGAGGCAGAACCTGAACCCCGACGGCTTCCCTGAATCCATGACACCGAGCGGGAGTGGACTCTGGGTGGGCCTGGCCCTGTCTTTCGACAAGAAAGTCACATCCTCCCGTGGAGAGTGAGCAGACTGAGGCCCAGAGAGGGCAAGGAGCATGCTCAGGGTCACTTGGCAAGCTGGGCACCCAGAGTCACCCACGGTGGCGCAGCTGGACGAGGAGCAGACACTCAGGGAGAAACGCAGGAGTGCAGTCACCGGGACACCTCAGGGCACGTTCTCTGGCCAGCCCATCCCTGGTGCCCTGGCCAGAGGTCCCTTCCCTGCACCCAATAAATCCTCAAGAAGTTGAGTTTTGTCTCCTTTTCTGTTGGGGATAAGCAGGGATGGGGTGGTGCGGAGAAGGGCAGGGCTGACTTCTGCCGTGTGTCATTCGGAGTGGCCTCCCTGCCCACCAGGGGTTCCACCTGGGGTTCTGCCATTGGTGTCCCCAGCCCCCTTTGGGGTAGGCATTGCCCTCTTCCTGCAAGCCCCCTTAGCAGCGACCCCTGTGGTAGGGGGAGCCTGTTGGCAGATGCCCCTGAGCCTGAAGGTGCCCAAGATGGTGACGATGGCCCCCATATGAGTATCACATGAGACCCGCCCCCCGGGAATGAACTCGGGAGTCTGGAGAGAAGAAAGTGACTAGGGGGCTGCCCCCACCTCCACCCCAGGAGGAAAGAATGACTTCCCTGAGCTGCTGGGCCTGGAGGGCCGTTCCCCCCAGGTCCTGGGCCAGTCCCTTTTTAGCAGTGACAGTTCAAAGGGGTAGAAAGGTGGGGCACACAGAACTGAAGCAGACCTGGGTCCTGTCAGCCCTGCCCCAAGCCACAGGTCAGGTCCAGCCCACGCCTGCCCCTGGGCCAGGGCTTAAAGGGGCAGTAAGGCCAGGTAGGGTGCTGCTGGCGGGACAGGATGGGGGTCTGGGGTGGCGGCTCCTTCTCTGGGGGTATCTACAGCTGCAGGGTAAGTCTGAACAGCCTCCCCTGGAGGTAGGGGTCCCTGAGGCGTGGGGTGGGCTTTTCTCTGCCACCCTTCTGGCCCCACACTGTCAATGTCCCTTTCCCATTCTCTTGCCACTCCCTCCCAGGTCCCTCCGAGCTCCAAGCATTCCTTCTCCTCTAATCCACCCCCTGCCTGGGCTGGCACCCCACATCTTCAGCCCAGCGTTCTCCCAGCCCACCCCCTCCACCTTACCTTACAGTCACAGCCCGAGGCCGGCCACAGCCACCCTTGCGTGCCTGTGACTTCTGCTTTGTTCACTCTCCACCTTCCACCCCTCCCCATGCTCTCCCCAAAGCCAGGAACTGCCCAGGCCAGGTTCCCACTTTGTGCTCATGGGCGCAGCCTAAGCTCTCAGCCCTGCCCCTCGCTGTCTCCCCATCACCCCGTCCTGTGCCTCTGCCCCTCCCCCACCCCCCAAGGCAACCCTGCTCCCCAGCTGCAAGTCCTCTTCCTCTTGGCCAGCTCTGAACATCCTTCAGAACCAGTGCCAACGTCCCTTCTGTTGTTGTCCCCTTGCTGTGCCCCACTGTGGGTCCCTTCTGCCTTTGGTGGCCCTGTCTCGTAAGGAGCTACTGGGGTGCAAGTTTTAGATGCCTGGCACATAGTAGGTGCGCACCTGGGGGGCTTTCAGGCGAGGCCAGGCTGGTGGGGATGAGGTCAGGGGACATCCTGTCCATAGGGGGTGAGACCGGCTCCTGCTCCGTTCTGGAGATGCGGGCAATTAAAGGTAGGGGCACACCGGGGAAGCTTCTGGACAGGTTCTGTGGACCAAGTTCTCACTGAGGCTGTTGTCTGTCCACGCCAGCCTGGGCCGGACTGCCAGGGGACAGCCTCCTGCAGGAATGCCATCAGACAGATGTCCTCCTGGCAGTGAGGAAGGAGCCCCAGGTGGAGGCTTGCCACCTGTGCCTTGGCACCTGCCTGCCCTCCCTGGTCCCTGTCATGCCTGTCTACATGGTCTTTGCTGTCCTGTTCAAGGCTTGTAGCTTTGCCCGGCTGGCGAGGGGGCAGCTGAGGCTCAGAAGGACAAGGCTGCCAAGAGCCTGGGGATACCTGGTGGGCACAGTTGGAGTGTCTGGTCTGGAGAGGGCTAGAATCAGATCATAATGCCTTGCTCTGTGGCCTTGGGCAAGTCACAGCCTCTCTGGGCCTCAGGCTCTTTCTCTAAAAGCTGCAGAGGCCTGGATTGCCAGGGAATTTGGTAGCCAAGGGTGTGATGCAGACTTGCTGTTTATCATCTGTGTGTTTCACCTTACATGCCTTTTACCTGTGTTTATTTCTTGCATCCTCATGGGGAGGGGAAACTATTCTCATTTTCTGGATGAAGAAACTGAGTCTGCCACCAGGTGCAACTTAGTACAACATTCTCCAAAGGAGAATAGGCGTCTAAGCAAGGAACTGGAAACTGAGGCCTAGACAGGACAAGAGACTTCAAGGCCACACGGTGAGGTGAGGGCCAAGCCAGGGAGGTACCTGTCCTGATTTCTTCCACCATTATAAGGAGCTGGTGTCCCTGCAGATCTCAGGAAGGATGGTGGAGTTCTTTGCCGACCTGGTCTCTGCAGCCCTACCTGGAAGGTCGGAGCAGCTGCCCACTGCTGCCTTCCGCCAGCGAGTCAGCGTGCGGCCGGGGGGTGGGGGGAGCATTGCCTGGCGCCCCTTAGCCTGTCTGGGGCCCTGAGACCTGGAGGTCCACGGGAAGAGGGAGGGTAGTGAGCAGGTGCGGACCCCACGGGCACCCCCATGGTGTGGGCCCCGGGCAGGCCCGGGTATTCTCACCTGGGAATCTGAGTTTGGAATTTCTGGATTCTCCCAGCACTCTCTCTCCAGTCCTTTCCTCTGCATGGGCTGCCCTGGGGCACTTGTCACAGGCATTCAGTGTTTGTTTTCCGGGCCACCTCACATGCCAGACTCTCCGTGTCCCCCTCTGGCTTCCCAGCCAGCCTGGAAGTCCCCACCTCACCTCCCGCCTCCTCGGTTACCAGCTCTCTGGCTGGGGTTGGACGTCTGGACTTCAGTGTGAGACTTTGGCCTGCTTCTTCCCTTCCTGCAGGTGGGGGCCATTGGCTGGGCTGAGGCTCAGGGACTCCTATGCCTCCAATTCTGAGCAAGGCTACCCCTGCAGAGGGGAGGCGGGGCCAGGTGGTGAGGTGTGAAGGACACTGGGCTTTGGGCCACCTCCCCCCAGCTTTGTCTCTTCCCTCCTGCTGTGTGGCCCTGGGCAAGCCCTTTGGTATCTCTGGGCCTTGTGTCTTCCTCATCTGGTTTTCATGGCAGCCTAGCATGAGGCCATGCCAGAGGCAACAGGCCCCACCAACACCAGCTCCCTTTTCCTGGGCTCTGAGCTCCACGTGGAATTTGCCACAGTTGGCAGCTCCCATCATCCCCTACAGCTGCACGTGGGCGAGTGTGTGACCAGCCCCAGCTGGGATCCTTAAGTGGCCCCTGTGCACTGCAGCCTTGTCAGGAATCATGGGTACCGGACCTGGGGGGAGGAGGACAGGGTGGGACGGTCAATCACTATGTCCTGGCATGAGAGGATGGGGTAGACCTTTGCTGGGATTGGGGGGCAGGGAGAGGAGATGTCTTTTCCCACCCCTAGGCTTGGTGGCCCAAGTCCTAAACGACCATCTTCACACAATGCTCAGCTGCACCACAAGGGGGCAGCACCTCCCAACATGCGCAGGTTGACCGGTTAAAACTGGATACTACCTGTTGGTGAACTACTCATTATGTCCACCTGATCCTGTCCTGAAAGCACTTCATGTGATGTGGCTCATTTAATCCTTGCGGCCTTGTTATGAGATGGGTTTGGTTAGGTCCCTGTTGGAGTCACTGGCCCAAACTCACGCCACCCCTGCACCTCCTGCCACCTCCCCCAGCCCGGGACTGCTCCCATGCCTCCCGCCTTCCTGACTGTGACCCTCTACACAGTCGGAGGGAGAGCTGTGACTCACAGGCTGTGTGACCTTGGGCAAGTTCCGTTGCCTCTCTGAGCCTTGGATTCCTTGCCATACAATTCTCTTTAATGACCTGAAACTGGTGCGAGGATTGGAGGAGAAACGGCTCACAAAGCATGCGGTGGGGGTGGCGCCCGCAGTGCACGCTCTGCAAGCATTGGCCATTATTACTGTGACAAAGACATCCACTGCAAGGACACGTGACTGAATCATTCCATCTGAGGACTAACCCAGATAGAAAGCATGCCAATGACATGGCTCAGGGATTCCACTTGTAAGAATTTATTCAAGCAAATAATTGGACGGTTGTCCAGAGATGAGCATTGGAGGGTGACAGTTGTGGTCTTGCTTGTATGAACTAAAAGCTTGGGAACTCCTTAAATGCCTACTGCATAAAGGAGCATTCTTCTGCTGTGATCATACTGGTGGCTGAATCTCTCCAGGTCCCTCCTCTGTCCTGATACCTTCTGAACACCCCAGCCAGGCATTCAGAGTCCCCAGTCCTTGGCAGTCTCATCTCTCGCCACGCCATCTGCCGGGAATGTCCCCCACGCCCTCTTTTCCCAGCCTTCAAGGTCCAGCTCCAATGTCACCTGCTCCGTGAACCCTTCTCTGTCACCTCCCCGAGACAGAGTTATCTTGCCCTGCGCTGGGAACTCCCTCATGCCCTCATCCCTCCCCTTGGACGCCCACAGAGAACAGAGCTGGAGCCGGGCATGCATGGCATCCTGTGATCTCCATAACAACCCTGTGCGTGGCTGCCACCTTATCGCCTTTCTACAGATGAGAAAATTCAGGCCACCGTGCAGTCAGCCACCATCAGCATTACCTCTTATCGCCTTAGTAAATCTGTGAGTGAAGAGGACTTTGAAGCCTTTTCTAAAATCAGGAGACACTGCAGACAGACGGTGGGGGGGGGGCGGGGGGGGGACAGTATTTGGCCTGGGCCCAGCTGAGCTATGCCCTAAGTTCACCTGTGGGCTCCAGGTGAGACTTGTCCCTTCCTGAGCCTCCTCTGGGCCAGTTTAAGGAGGCTGTGGGGGGCCGGCAATGTTTCTTTTCACTGTGGCCACCTTGGGGGGCTTCTGCTCGCTGCTGTAGGCCTGCTGCTTGCTAAGGTCTGGGAAATGGGGCTCCTTTGGGAGGTGGAGGGTTGGAGTGGGGACCTTCCTCCTGTCCTCTCTGCCCCCAGACTCAGTGTCCTCCCGCCAGCTGTGCACCTGGTGAGTCCTATGAGGCTAGCTACCAACCTGTCCCTGGGGGCGAGGAGCTGGTCTTGGCAGCCTGGGGGTGTGAGCAGGAGGAGACATCTTTCCTAGTGGCCTAGGAGTCACCCTGCGGGTGCCCT